CGTACACCGTACACGGACGGGGGGGAGACGGGTGGGGTGGGCAGATGCCGGGTTTACTGGCATTGTGGGGAGGCAAGATGGGAGGGCAGGGGAGGAAAGACGAACACGGTGGGGGGGGAGACAGGGCCCATCTTGTCAGATGGACCTTCTGGGGCTGCATCATCTCTCAGGATGCAGGAGAGAAGGGACAATCATCCCACCCCACCAAGGCTGTGCAGGGCCAAGACCCTGAGGTGGGTGCGGGGAGCGTCAGGCTGGGGGTTGTGAACAGGCAGGTCTTTTTCTGGTGGTGGGCAGATGCCGGGTTTCCTGCACTGGCATTGGTGGCACAGCCCCAGCTCAGACATCATACAGACCCCCTCACCCTCTCTGTCCTGCAGCTCCCACCAGATGAGACCCTGGGAAGACAGAGGGTCCAAAGACACAGAAATTCCTTACCTCCAGTGGAAACATATAAAACCCAAGACTACCTTTTAGTTAGCAATGAAAAGGAGCAGTCATACCTGCCACTGTGGTGGGTCTCAGGTCAGGAGATGGAATGCTGCTCTGCCAAGGCGTATCGCGCAGTGATCCCAGCTCCATTTCTGTAATACCGCACCGAAGATGTGTGTCCCCCCCAACCCATCCCCAGCACTGCATGGGCAGCAGTTCCCCCTTGAACATCATGTACGACAGGACCCGGAGATCAGCCAGTCCGAAAGAGACCCCGAGAGCAGCAGCTGGAAGGGGCACTGGAAAGAGGGACAAATTTTGCAGAGGAGGGGAGGCAAAAAGCCCCCGTAGCCCAGTTTGCAGCACCCCAAACCCAACAGCATTGCCTTCGTTAACCCCAGAGGAGCTTCATTTGTCCCAGGGCAGGACGAGTAGGTCCACAGCGAAGCCCAGTGGTCCTGGGGCAGGGGGATAGCAGGGCTCATCCCTGGGTCATGTCACTCACCATAGGAGACAGTCAGGGTGACGTGGTTGCTGTGTGTGGAGCCAAGGCTCTGGCACTCGTTCTGCCCGTTTGTTTTTGCCTGGCATTTCTGATCCTGTAGGTGTCCATGTCTGTGGGTGCCAAGAGCTTGCCATTGTACCAAGCTGTGGGGTGCTGCCGCAGCGAATGGGAGCCCCAGCACCTAAGGGTCATGCTGTCTCCTGGAAGTATCATGCTCCAGGGTGGGTCCAGGGTCAGCAGGGCTGTCTCTGCAGCCATGAAGGTCCAGGCAGGAGGGAAGAGCAGGATGGAGCAGAGATCAGCACAACAGCATGCATGGCGGCAAGCCCTCAATCCTGAGCACATAGGCTGGGATGGGGGAAGAGGGCAGAACCCCAGTGCTCACTGGGGTTTCTAGGGCACTGGTGGGATTTTGGGGGACTGTCTAATCTTTCAGAGAGGCAGCAGGGCTGGTGTCCGGTGCCCAGTGCTGCCTGGCATCTTTTGAGCCAGGCGGCACATGGAGGGACAGCAGAGTCACACCGTGCCCTGCTGCTGCTTGAGGGGACACCAGGCCCTGTCACCTTGTTCAGCAAGAACTGTCCAGGGCCCCAAGGGCTGTCATCATAAATCTGCAAGCAAAGAGACTCACCAGCAAGGACAAGGGCTTGAGCTGAAAGGAGGAAAGGAAGAAGGGATGAGCACCCCTGGGATGTGCCTGCCAGGTCTCCTGCAGTGTCCCTGGCATAGAGAGGAGTGATGCTGGCCTTGGACATGAGCCATCCTGGGGCAGGGGAGGGTTTGACAAGGCCTGCCAGGTCCCTGAGATACCCACCAGCAACTCCCCATCGCCCCAGACCATGGCATCCTCATCCTCACCACATTCATACCCACCAGCCTTGCTGGACCCCAGTTTCCTTCCTCCCCAACAAATGGGACCACCCAAAGGAGGAAGCCCTGAGCCTACATTGTGACAGGGACGACCACTGCTCCATCCAAACCTCCTCAGACTGGCAGGATAAACAAAAATCTCCCCTTCCCTGGGCAGAGTAAAACCCCATCCAGACATGCCCCAAAGAGGTACAAGGAGCAAGTGCCCAGCAGAGCTTGTGCTGGTGATGGAGCCTCTGTCCTCCAGCCCCTGAAGCTCACTGGGTCACTGGGGCTCTTTGGGGACACGTGTTACCTCCTGGCATCCACACAGGCTGTCCATCCCCTGGGAGGACAGCAGGCACCAGACCCCGCCATGCTCCCCACCAGCCCCCTTTGCCACACTCACCCAGGAGGAGCAGAGCTCTGTTCCCTGCCATCCCAGGCTGGGGGTACAGCACTTGGTGACTTTCCCACAGAGCGTGACAGTGACGTCCGTTGCACAGAGAGAAAAAGAGGAAGGAAATGGCTTTCGTTATTGTTGTGATGATGATGACGCAAAGAAAAAGCCCAGTTAACCAGAAGCCTCTGTGTTGCCGTAATGACTGTGCCTGAATGCACTTTTTTTTTCCCCCTCACTTCATAGAGGATTCACAGCTCGCTCTGTCCCCGGAAACCACAGCCCCATAAAGCCTTTGCTTCATGTAACCCCTCTGAGATCCCTCCTCCACTCCCTTGGAGACTCTGCTCCTCCTGGGTGGCTGTCGTCATTTGCTGGTTTTTTTCCACCCAGAGAAAAGGGGTTTTGACAGATCCTCCTCTCACAAGACTTTTTGCTACGTGTGGTTTCCCACCTTCCCCAGTGTCTTGGAGTCCATCCACAAGCCAGCACCTGCCTAGTCCTCAAGCAGCAGGAGTCTTGGGCTCTTCTGGGGTCATATTTGTGACTTCTTTGGAGCTTTCTCCCTGCCTTCCTGGAAAAACTTTCCCTATGCCAGAGATCAGGCACCAATGGGAAAGAAACAGGCTTGTTTCCGCTGCTTGCCCCTGACGTGGACCAGGTTGGATGGGTTGCGACAGGCACAGGACTAGTTATGGGATCCTGTGCACCATGCAAGTTCTTGTAGAAACCACATTTCAGCAGAGCTGCCCTGAAACATGTGAGAGTGAAGCACAGACCAAGTCTGCCCCACGGTCTTTGCCTGCATCTGATTTATCAGTTGAGCATGTCCCATTGGCTTTGGGACAGACAGACTTGAAACACAACCAAAAGCACCAATGTAACCCCTGAACTTGAAGCTCATCTTCACTAAAGAAGCCAAGTCCTTGAATTCATCAACTTTCCAAGAACCAAGGCGTGCTGCAGGGAGCTCCTCCACACCTCCAAGAGCCTTGCAGTAGGACACACAGTGCCATCACAAAAGGAAAAAAAAAAAAAAAAGAAAAGCTTATTCTAATTTTTGACACAGGCTGACTTCCTATGAGGAATTTGTAAGCTTGGAAGGAAGGAAAAGATCCTGTATGTGTTCAGGTACTGTACTGAGGGGAAGTTTTATTACTGTCTTCTCCCTCCTTTTCTGAATTTGATTCTTGGGACATTGATTTTCCTTCTGCTTTTTGGATTCTTATTCTGCTTTCAGCCTGAGGTTCAATTCTTACCTTCTGTTGCAAGACCTCTGAATGTAGCAACCAAGACTGCCGGTTGAAGCCCCAAGGACGAGAGACCTTCCGTGAAAGCGGCTCAAGACACCCAATCCCAATTACCTACGAAGCCCCTTATGCAATTACAGAGGTGGTTGGCTGATGGGAAAAACCACGATGGCGTGACGTGGTGACTCAAAGATCTAAAATGGACATCTTATGGCTACAGAAACTGGTGCTAAAAATACCATAGATAAACAAGGACAAGAGAGCATAACTGCCATGACTGATACTAAAGCAAGCCTCATTGGACAGTTAAGGGAAAAAAGCAGAACTGGGATAATAGAGAAGGCTTGCGTGCCCAGGGACTGCGATAAAGAAAAGACCCTTGGACAGAGACCGTACGAGCAGGGATAATGTACATACTCTTGTCCGAGAAATTCCAGGGAAGACTGTGCCAGAAATCTGTGATGGACATAAGCACCTCGTTGATGACTCTATACTTAGAGGCAGCGACCGTGACATCTGGATGGGCGGTAAAGGGATGGACGTGAAAATTAAGTCAGGGAATGTGGTGACTAAAAGGCACAAGGGAGCAGAGACCTCAGAGTTCTGGACAGTATATTTTAATGTACATCTCACATACCAAATGAGCAATGGGTACTATTCTGTCTGTGGCCTGCTTTGTACGGCCGATCCTCCTACCCCTCTGGCCCTTGGCGTCTCTGAGCCATAGTTCTGGCAAAGTTTCCTACGCTTACACCTAAGCCGTGATATGTCCCTATTAAAATAGCCTTAAACCACCCTATCCCCTCCATTACCACTTAACTCCAAACAGCCCATCATCCACTTTGGCTCTGTCATCGCCAGAGCTCATACCTCAGGGTCTCCTGCGGGCATGAGACCCATCTGACAGTCAGCCCCGTGCACGGTGACGTAGAGGCCCAGACGGTTGATGCTGCATTTCTTGTAACTTCGTCATAACTCGTATTGGCTGCAGAGCGACTCGAACAGAACAGATCTCATCCACAGCTGAATCCGACTGCAAAACCAACCTGAGGATGACTGATGAACCCGCCTCCCTTTCCCAACCATCCCTCAGTCCCAAAACTTTAGAAACCCCTTCTCTTCTCCTGAACTGTCAGGAAAGAAACCCCACTCCTTCCCGACAGCTCCTGCCCTGTGTTTGCACCCCTGAACCCCGTGCGTCGGCTGCTCCTCAGGAGCTGCTCTTCCAAGCCCTGCCCTGCTCCCGCAGGTACCTCCTATCCTCCGACATCCCACAGGCTCTGGGCTCTGCTACAGGCCCACACAGTAAGTGAATTTCAGACACTTACAGCCTGGAAGGGGCCTGCCGCAGGCTGCAAATGCTCTAGGGACAACATGGTACTTCATGGGTGATCAGGAAAGGCGACAAGCTGTCCCATGCCCTGAAAAACACTATGCCCAATATGCCTGCTGCTTTCTTGAGGAATGCTGACACTCCAGATACAGAGGCATACAAGATGCTCACCCTAACCCCTGCCAGACGATCTTACCATCAGTCCTATAGAAAAAGATGATGTCAACAACTTTAACAATATCCAGCAGAACCAGTGAAAAAACCAAGGTTCCTTCTACAGTAAACTCAGAAATGCCAAAAAAACGCAACGCACCTAAAATAAAAAAAGACAAGAATGCAGAATATTAAACCACCTTGCAACTCCTGGACACCCTATGTACAATCACCGATCCAAGAACAAGCTGTGCACAACAAATGTACCTTCTACTACAGATGCTGCTCAGCCTCGACTCACCCCGAAGCTCCTACCTCAGGCAGGCACCCCGTCCTCTCTGCACGTCCGAACGCAGCTGCCCAAGCAGCTCGGCCAGCTCGGAGCCGCCGCTGCCAGAAGGAGTAGAGCACCCAGCCCAAAGCAGCCCCGGGGCAGGCCCTGCTCCCCACAAACCCCTGGGAAAGGGGCAGGGGGGTGGGTGGCCATGGCAGCGGGGTGGCCGGGGGGGCGGCGGGCGTTCTGCTCCCTGCAATGGAGATCGGGGCGTTACTGGAGATTGGGATGCCTGCTCTTTCGCTACAACTTTGTCTGTCACACCAGCCATGTGACTGGGTCGGTAATTAAACTTAATTTTACTGGGACAAACACAAACTTGTATTTAAATAGATAAAAATAGCTTAAGATCATACTAACGCATGTGGGAAAGTAGTTCATCAAACGCAATAGCAACATTATCAGCAGAAATGATGTGCTTTAGCTTCCTATTGAAGAAACCAAACACTATGCGGTTACAATTAATTTCTAGCAAGACCAGGTGTATTTCCTACCTTCTACCAGAGCTATGTTCTGGATAGGACTGAACGACAAAGCAGAACTAGATCCCACACGAATCCCTTCTCAAACATATCTCCGGTTGCAAAGTGAATTATTTACTGTAAATCACCAATGACTCTGAGTCACCGAGACTCCTCAGTGGTCTCTCTAACTCCCTTAACAGAAATAGATGGGGCCCAAAGGATAGGAAAACACCCCAAAAAGCATGGAAATACAAGAAACGCATCTCATAGGAGGGCTTCTCTGAAACACCCAAGAGGAGATCTGAGCTGACGAGGTATCTTTGGGGTACCAGGGACTGAACAGAAACATACTATACGCCATAGAAACGAAAAGACTGCTCTGGAGCACAAAGATGGCTTCAGAAAAGGTTCGGACAGAAGAGGAGACATCATAACAGGGATTAGAGAGGTCCTGAAGAGGCCGGAGAGACCAAAGAAGTCCTGAGGACACAATGAGGAACTCAAAAGGGAATTTAACAAAGTACAGATGCCCTCAGGGGGCCAGGGACCGAATGGAGGCATGCCAAATGGATGAGAGGACAAAAAGACCAACCTGGTTAACAAGATACGGACTCAGGAAGGGTTCTGAGGAAAAAAGGGGTGAAAGTGCTCTCCCGAGCTAAAACAGGGCTCTGGGGATGTCTCAGGAGAGGTCAGCAAAGGGAGCAGAGGGGTGTTGAGGCAGGGGGGCAGAGAGACCAAAGAAGCCTCAGAGACAACGAGGAACTCTGAAGGGGATTTCAACAAAGTACAGATGTCGTCAGAGGGGCAGGGGCTGAATGGAAGTACCCTAAATGGCAAAGAGGGGACTGAACAGAGGAATCCTAGATAGCGTAGAGGACACAATGCATGTTCTGGGCCTCAAAGAAGGCATCAGGAATGGTTCTGAGGGAGCAAGAGGGGTCCAAAGCGCACTACAGAGATGAAAGTGGGCTGTGGTTCCCAAGGAAGGTCTCAGGAGGCATCATGAAGGGTGTTCCCTACAGCTTTTGCTGAGCTTTGCCGAAGCCCGCAAGAGGCCCTGCTGCCTTCCAGAGTCTCCGACAGCTCCTGCCGGGCTTTGCCAATGCCCATGTGGGGCTCTTCTGCCTTCCAGAGCGTCTGACAGCTTTTGCCCAGTTTGCCGAGGCCCACAAGGGCCCTGCTTCTCTCCAGAGTGCCCCAGGGCTTTTGCTGGGCTTTGCCAATGCCTGGGGAGGGCTCTGCTGCCTTCAAGAATGCCCCAGGGTTTTTGCTGGCTATGCCAAGTCCCATGTAGGGCCCTACTCCTCTCCAGTGTCTGATGTCTTTTCCTGGGCTTTGCCGAAGCCCGCAAGGGGCCCTGCTTCTCTCCAGACTGCCCCAGGGCCTTTACCACGCTTTGCCGACATCCAAACAGGGCTCTGCTTCATTCCAGAGTGTGTGACAGCTTTAGCCAGGCTTTGCTGAAGCCCGCAAGAGGCCCTGCTGTCTTCGAGAGGTCGACAAGGCTGTTGCCGGGCTTTGCTGTGGCCCTCAAAGGGCCCTGCTCTCTTCCAGAGTGCCCCAGGGCTTTTGCCATGCGATGCGACACCTGGGTTGGGTGTGGGGTGCTCAGGGGGGTTGTGTGGCTGGGTGCAGGGGGCGCCGGATTTGGGGCTGGGTGTGAGTTGATGCTGAGCTGAGTACGGTGCTGGTTGTAGGTGTGCAAAGGGGTGGGGCTGGGTGTGAGTTGATGCTGAGCTGAGTACAGTGCTGGGTGTAGGTGGGTGCAAAGGGGGGCAGAGGGGGTGCAGGGTGGGCACAGGGGGAGTACCAGGTGGGTGTAGGGTGGCTGTGGGGATTGCAGGTGGGAACAGGGGCTTAGCCATCAGAGTGCCCTGCAGTGCTTGGCCGAGTGCAGGCCAGGGGTGCAGCACAGGGCAGTGGTGTGCCTGGCCAGGGGTGCCAAGGGGACACTGGCGGGGACACAAGAGTGGATGAATGCAGCCCCCTGGAGTGGCCCCTGGCCCTGCACCACCCCCCTCCCCCTCTTGCTGGTTCATCACCGCCTGGAGACCCCGAGTCCCCGCGCCTGGCCATGAGGTGCCCTTTGTCCCCTGTCCCACAGGTGCCTGGCTGTGAGGTGCCCTGTGTCCCCCCTCACCATGGATCCTGGGCCATGGGGTCCTCCCTGTGTCCCCCATCCCCATATGTCCCAAGCCCTCGGATCCCCCCCATGTCCCCAGCCCCACTGTTCCCTGGCCATGGGGTGCCCCACGCTTTCTCACCCTGCCCTGTCCTCAGCACAGTCCCCATGTCCCCACAGCACTCCCAAGCGTGCCAGAGGGCACCCAGGCATGGGGGACACAGTGCCTGACCCCCAAGAAGACTCTCGGCACCCTCTGTGCCCCCCACCTCAAACCCAGCACCAAGCACTCCTGCAACACCCACCCCTGCACCCTGGAGCTCGGTAAGGGGCTGGGGGAGGGGGGCCTTGGGGCCAGGACACTGGGGTCCCCAGTGCCCCATCCCTCAGTTTCCCCCCACCAGCAGACAAGAGTTGCAGGGACACATATCCCAACTGTGCAATGGTGGTCCAGGCCCAGCTCTGCGTCTGCTGCACCACCTGCACCCACAACCCCCACTGCCACCCCTGGCCCATAGCCCCCCAGGACCCCACAGCCACCCCCGGCCCACAGGACACCTCTGGAGGGACAGCAGCCACATGGGGCAAATTAATTTGGCGTGCCACCTGCTTCCCACGGGGAGTGGGGGGACAGGCCATGCATCACACATGCCCCCATCAGGGGCTGTGCTGCTCCACAGCCTGTCCCCAGCGTCCCCGCAGGCACTGTCCTGCTTGGGGACACCCCGGTGTCCTGCCTATTCCCTGCACCGCTCCCGGGCACCCCATGGGACATGTACATCAGTGCTGGGGTGCACGGGGCACCCCCAGCCCCGGTGGGGTGTGGGACTGGGGCTGAGCCAAGTGGGACAGGGCTATTCAGGAGCACTGGCCATGGGGCTGTTAGCAGCATGCCAGACGCGGGGCTGGGGACTGGGTGCTGGCCATGGGGCTGGGTGCTGGCCACGGGCACGGGTGCTGCTGGAACACCATGTCCTGCCAGCACATTCCTGCCTGAGTCACTGCCGGTTCCTGCCTGGGCAGGTCCACGGCCACAGCCCCACAGCAGCCCCACGCTGGCGCCACGCAAGGCCCACACCAGCCCCACTCCACCCCGCGCCCTGCAGCTAGGCCAGCCCCACACACACGCACTCAAACCCTGCCCCAATCAGTGCATATACACATGTATAAGTGCCCGTACCCCCACTCACCCCTATGCCCCCCCCACCTTATAAACCCTATAACTGCAGAGCCCTACCCACAACCTGTACACTCCCTCTGCCCTATACACACGCCCTATACGCCTTATAACCCCCACATCCTGTACTCCCTAAAGCCACACAAACACGCCTGTGTCCCACACTCGCACTGTTTACACCCCCACACCTCAATACACACGCCCTACACCC